CGCCAGCTTGGCCGGGGGCTCCAGGGCCTCGGGGCCCAGCGCGGGCGACTCGCCGCCCGCCGCCAGCGCGATGTCCTGGGGCAGCTCGTCCTCGCTCTCCTCCTCCTCCTCCTCCTCGTCGTCTGGGGTACAGGGACCAGGCCCCGGTTAGCACCCCGGCCTCCCTGTGTGCCGGCGGCCGCGTCCCCACCGGGGCCCCCGCATTGGCGACACCTTGCCTACCTTTATCCGGGTCCAGGGGGTTCAGTGAAGTGGCCAGGTTGGCGAACTGCAGGGAGGGGAGAAGCGGTGAGGGTCAGGGCCAGCCCGCCCCGCGCCGGCCCCACCCGCCCCCCAGCCCGCCCCGGGCTCGCGCCCTGCGCCTGCGCGCACCTCGCCCATCACGGCGATCGGGGTCTCGCCCTTGGCCTGCGCCACGCGGTGCTCGATCAGGTAGTACATGTACTCGTCGTACAGCAGCCGGATGAGGTGGAACGAGCCGAAGCTGGCGGCGCTGCGCAGGGTCAGGTCCCGGATCACCATGGAGCTGCGGACCCAGGGGGTGGGATCAGCCTCGCGCCCACCACGCAGCCCATCGCCGAATGAAGGACCCCGCGACAGCCCACCCCCACGCACCTGTAGAAGGACCACTTGAGGAGGAAGAGCTTGGCGGCCTTCGGGAAGCCGGTGCTGCCCTGGTAGGGCTTGAGCACCTGGCTCACCACGCCGTCCAGCCAGGCCGCCCACTGCTCCAGCGAGTTCTGCTGCTGCAGCGTCACCTTGAAGTCCTGCTCCAGGCGCTGCACCACGCGGTCCTCGCAGCGGCACACCCACGAGGCCTGCTCCTGTGGGGCAGCGCGAGTGGGCTGGCGGCACGGGGGAGGGGCTCGGCCCGGGCCCGCCCACCAGGCCACGCCCCCAGGGTGCCCAGCTATCCCGGGCCACGCCCCCACAGTAGCCCCGCCCACCTGCACGTTGGCGAAGTCCACGCGGTTGAGGTCGCTCAGCATCTGGTTGATCTGCGCTGTGTTCTGCAGCACGGCGCGCGCCGCCTGCGCCAAGTGGTTGAGCGACGTGTAGCGCCGCAGCGTCTGTGCGAAGGCACCCGCCGCCGCCACCTACGTGCGGGGTGGAGTGAGAGCAATTGGGGTGCCTGCGGACCCCACTGCTCCCACCCCTCCCAGCCCTCTCTCCAGCCCGTTTCCCTTTCTTTAAAATGGAAATGAAGCCGGGCTTATGACTGGAATCCTAGCTACTCAGGAGGCTAAAATCTGGCGATCACGGTTCAAAGCCAACCCAAGCAGGATAGTGGTAACTCTGATCTTCACCAAACCACCAAAATACCGGAAGTGGAGCTGTGGCTCAAATGGTAGAGCGCCAGCCTTAAGCAAAAGAGCTCAGACAACTCCCAGGCCCTGAATTCAAGCCCCATGATTGACAAAATAAACTTTTTTTCTATTTCTTAACACTAACTAGATGTAGACAAATCTCCAATTGTGCACAAGAATTTGTTTTTTTCCAGTTCTGGGGCTTGAACTCAGGGCCTGGACACTTTCTGAACTTCTTTTGCTAGCACTCTACCGCCCGAGCCACAGCACCACCTCCCGCTTTTTTTGTGTCTGTGGTACTGAGGAATGGAACCCAGGGCTTCATGCATGCTAGGCCAGCACTCTACCACTGAGCCATCCTCCTAGCCCCTAAGTTTTTATTTTTTAAGATGCTGTCTAGGGCTGGGAAGGTGGCTCAGTGGTAGAGCGCTTGCCTAGCATGCATGAGGCCCTGGGTTCCATCCCTTAGCACCACATAAGCAAAAAGAAAAAATCCGGAAGTGGCGCTGTGGCTCAAGTAGTAGAGCACTAGCCTTGAGCTGAAGAGCTAAGGGACAGCGCCCAGGCCCAGAGTTCAAGCCCCACAACCCGACCCCCCCAAAAAAAAGATGCTGTCTAGGGTCCTGCAACAACACAAAGTGGCTGCACAAGGAAGGGCTGTGCAGGAGCGCCAAAGCCCCTCATCTCCGAGCGCTGGCCGTAGCTGTGCGCACGCCGCCCCGCCCAGCCTGGGCCCGAGAGTCCCGTCCCACCTTCACCCGCAGCATCTCCTCGGGGATGTTCACCATGGCGTGGGTGAGCCAGCTCTCCAGGCTCTTGGCAAAGTTGCGGATGGCTTGGGTCAAGGCACCTAGCGGAGGGAGGCTGGTCAGGAGGCCAGGAGGGGCTGGAGGGGAGGTGCAGGGGGAGGGGGCGGAGGGCACTCACTGGGGATGGGGCGCAGCACGTCGGGGATGAGGACGTCCACCAGGCCCTGGTACAGCAGGTGGTCACAGTGCTTGGTCCAGTGGAGCACAGGCTCGAACTTGGACAGGAGCACCAGGCTGGCCTTGGGCAGCCGCTTCTCAGCCTCGTCCTGCCTGGGGACACCCGCCCCATGGCCCAGGTTACCCCCAGGCTGTTCCCATGCACTGGAACACACTGCCCCCCTCCCGTAGCTCCCCCTTCCATGCACTCTGTGTGCTGGGGTTCCCTCCAGATACGACTGTGCCCTGTTCACACCTCAACACGTTGTCATGGAGGGGGGCAAGGGCATGCGCACCCCACAAATTGTAGGGGTCACTTCCCCCACCCCAGGGAACTCACACGGCCAGCGATGGGGCCTCGCTGGACTGGCTCAGGTTGTACCTCCAAAAGGTCTTCCACAGCGTCTCCACCAACGTGAACTGCAGGTTCACCATGACGTCCACGATGGCCTGTGGGAGGCGGGACGCTGAGGGGGAGGGTGGGGACTGAGCCCCGCCCCGCCCCGCCCCGCCCCGGCCTGGCTGCCTCCGCACCTCACAGTGCTCCCGGTACAGGATCTGGAAGGCTTTGATGTCGCCTGGCGCCACGCCCTCGGGCAGCACTTTGCCCTGAAGGTCCAGCTCGATGAAGTCTGGGAGACTCCGGGAGGCATCTGGGGGGCAGAGGGCACTGTAAGCACCCCCCCACTCCCCAGGACACAGCTCATCCAGCTGTCACCATCTTTCATGTATGCGGGGGTTACATGACTCAGGGAGGGAGAGGGTATCCACGCCTCTGGTTTGCTTGCTTGCTGGCAGTGGCCCTGGCATGGCCTGGCCCTCAGGACAGGGTCTAGGCACTGAAGGTCAGGACTGTGCACAGGGCCATGGCCCAGAGGGTGCCATCCCCGCGGGAAGACACCTGCCATGCTCAGCCACTTCCCAGCCCCTCCCAGCTCCACAGACACCTGCAGGACCCAGTAGCAGGTGTGTGGGTGTCCTGGTCTCTTTTTTGTTGTTGTTGATAATGGGACTTGAACTCAGGGCCTGGGTGCCATCCCTGAGTGCTTTCAAACTCAAGGCTAGCTAGCGCTCTACTACTTTGAGCCACAGCGCCACTTCTGGTTTTTCAATGGTTCCTTGGAGATAAGAGTCTTAAGGGAGCCGGGTACCGGTGACTCACGCCTGGCATCCTAGCTACTCAGGAGGTTGAGATCTGAGGATCGCAGTTCAAAGCCAGCCCAGGCAGAAAAGTCTATGAGACTCTGATCTCCAATGAACCACCAGAAAACCGGAAGTGGCCCCGTGGCTCAAGCGGTACAGCGCTCACCTTAAGCTGAAGAGCTGAGGGAAAGCACCCAGGCCCAGAGTTCAAGACCCATGACCGACAAAAAAAGAAGTGTCAGGGGGCTTTTCTGCCAGGCTGGCTTTGAACCGGGATCCTCAGATCTCGGCCTCCTGAGTAGCTAAGGAGGATGCTGACCCTCAGGTCTCAGGATGACAAGCATGAGCCACCAGTGCCTGGTATGGTCTGACATTTTTTTCCCCCTAGAGTTCCGGAGCACACAGACATCATCGGCGCCCATAAAGTCAGTCAAGCCTCATGAGCTCTGGGATCCCCAGTAGCACAAGAAGAGGTGGAGGGGGGCCTGACAAATAGAACCATCCCCCCCTCTGGTGGGTCTCCCTGAGTGGAGGGGGGAGCCTTGGGGAAGGCAGAGAGGATGGGTGGGTCCTTGATAACCATGATGGCGGCCACACTCGAGCTACATCTCCCTGCCGCACGCTGCCCCCTGGGTCCCCGACAGCCCCCCCACCCGACCCCGCGAGCCAAGGTCTCACCCAGGAATTGCTGGTACTGCTGCACCTGGGCGCTGATATCCGACAGCCCGGTGCTCTGCTGCGGCCCCACCGCCACGCCATTGGTCATACCCTCCATCTTCTGCACGGGCTTCAGCCTGCAGGGCGGGCGGGAGGGCGCGCGTTTGGTGGAGGGAGGCGGGGGTGGGGAGCCCGCGGCTGCTGGGGGCGTGGCGCGGGGCGTGGCTGAGGCGGCCCCGCCCTTACCTCTGCTTCTGGGAGAAGGGCTGGCCGCGCATGGCCATGTGCTGCTGGTCTTCCATGAGCCGCAGGAGCGGCGAGCTGGCCTTGATGCGCAGCCCGTAGTAGTGGTACTTGGAGTTTCCCCTGGGAGGAGCGCGGAGGGTGAGGAGTGGGCGGGGCCCCTTGGAGTCTCACCCCTCCCTGAACCCCTTCTTCAGGACTGCCAGGAGAAGACGCCACCCGCTGAGAAAGCCCTGTGTGGTCAAAGCCTCTGTGGGGTCTGGTTCCACTGCCCAGCCTCAGTTCGGAGCTGGGCCAGGCATCGGGCCCCATCAGCCCGCCTTCCCAGCGCCAGCCCCGCATGGGAGTCTCCCAGCCTGGAGGGATGGACAAACAAGCAGGCCAGAACGATCCAGAATGCGGAACGGAGCTATGAGTGAAGGAATGCACAAATACATGGCCAGAAGTGGGATGGGTGGATGAGTGGGTGGATGGATGGATGGATGGGTGCTGGAGGAACGAATGCATGTGTGAATAGCTGAATGGATGCAGTACGTGAAGGAACGCGTGGGTGCGTGCGCGAATGGATGGACATTTAGGCTGGGAACAGAACTGGGGTAAGCTGGGCTGAGCTGGGGGAGGCATGGGGGGGGCACAAAGAAGGGGGACGGTCTCACGGATGGCTACCCCAGCAATGTGCAGACCCCCACACAGGCGGAGTAAGCGCTCACAGCGTTTGGGATGGGGCGGGGCTTCGAGCGTGGGGGCGTGGCCTGTGACCCAGCGGAGCCTCCCGCAGGCGGGTGGGGCCTCTGTGGGCGTGGCCTCCTGTGCAGGGTGTAGTCTTCCCACGTGAGGCCTCCGTGGTAGGTGTGGCCATTTATGGGGCAGAGACTTGAATGGGAGGGGCCTTGGTGCGTGGGCAGGGCCTGGGAATGGGCGGGGCCTGGTGTGCGCACGGACCCACCTGGTGCCCAGGCGGCGCGTGCGCAGACCCATGAAGACGGAGCGGATGAGCTTGCCGAAGGAGGCGGCGTTGACGGGCTCCAGCTTCTGCTCCTGGCAGTGCAGCAGGTAATGGCAGTAGAGGGTGCTCCGCGGCAGGCTCACGCCCTCGGCCGTCTCGTAGTTGTCCAGCAGCCACTGCACCTGGGGCAGAGGGAGAATGAGCCCCCCCCCCAGCCCTGGGGGCGTGGCCGGGAGGACCCCACACGCAAACCACACCTCTTCCCCAGAACTTTCTAGAACAGCAACCCTGGCCAAGCCAACTGCCACTACCCGGGTACAGCTCGGTACACGCCGATTGGGGTAGAGGGGCGCCTGCGAGGGGCGCCGCGCCCGGGGCTTACCGTGGCTGGCGAGGCACGGGTGGTGTGGGAGTAGGACTGGCTGGCACTGCCCAGCATGAAGCCGCCCTGGATCACGTAGGTGCCGGCGCCCCCGCCGCCGCCGCCGCCGTTGCCCGCGCTGCCCGCGCTGCCCGCGCCGCCCCCGCCGCCGCCGGCCCCGCCCCCGCCGCCGCCGCCGCCGCCGCCGCCGCCGCCGCCGGTGCTGCTGGCCCCGGCCCCGCTGCTGGTGGAGCTGGCGACCACCGGGCTGCCGGGCACGTACATGGGCACCGAGCCGCTGCTGGCCACCGCCTGCGAGGTGGCGGGCGTGCTGACCTGGGCCGCGGAGCCCGCGGCCTCATAGTAGCCGGTGCCCGCCGTCTGCGTGTACAGGGGCGTCTCGGGGTAGGGGTAGGTGCTGGAGCGGCTGCGGGAGAAGCAGAGGGGCGGGGTGAGGGGCGAGGGGAGGGAGGGTGCGGCCAAGGAGAGTCGGGAGCCAGGGGGGAAACTGAGGCAGAAGGGCTAAGCACCTTGCCTCAGTCACATACTGACCTCAATCTAAAAAACAGAAACCTGGATAGCTGGGAGTGGGGCTCAAGTAGCGCAGCACGTGACCCGCAGGTGACCCGCAGGTGACCCGCAGGTGACCCGCAGGTGAGGTCCTGCGGTGCACCCAGCACCACATCTACAAACCAAAAGCAACTCGCACCTGTACTGCCAGCTGTGCAGGAGCACAGGGCCAGCGTGGAAAGGGAAATGGGAGAAGGCTTGCCTAGCAACCTCAAGACCATGTGTTCAAACCTGAGTACCGCTCAAAACTAACTTTTGGACAAAAGAAAAATAGTATGCTAGGTGGTAATAGCTTACTGTCATCCTAGAGACTTAAGGACCTGAGATCCAGAGGATCAAGGCTCCAGGCCAGCCCCAGGTAGAAAAGTAAGACTCCATCTGAGTGGCTGGGAACGTGGCTCAGTGGTAGAGTGCTTGCCTAGCATGCATGAAGCCTTGGGTTCGATTCCTCAGTACCACAGACACAGAAAAGCCAGAAGTGGCACTGTGGCTCAAGTGGTAGAGCGCTAGCCTTGAGCAAAAGCAGCTCAGGGACAGTGCCCAGGACCAGAGTTCAAGCCCCAGGACTGGCAATAATAATAATTATTATTATTTTAAAAAAGACTCCATCTGAACAGAAGAAGCCGGACTTGGTGGCATGGGCCTGTCATCCCAAGTGACAGCAGCATAAAATAGGTGGATCCCAACTTGGGGAGACCCTGTCTCGAAACTAACCAGTGCAAAATGGGGCTGAAGGCATGGCTTGGCAGTAGAGCACCAGCTTATAGCAGGCTCTGGCCCGAAGTTTAATCAGTAAGTACAGGAGAGGGGGAAGAATAAGCTAAAAAGAAAATGTTTAACAAAAAACTAGGCATGTGGTCATGGCTCGGGGTAGAGAGTGGGTCCCATCCCCAAAGGACACTTTTCCAGCACTGCAGACAGCATCAGGGAGCAGAAGCCTCCTTGCCCTCCTACAGCAGGAGCCCCAGGAAAAACCAAAGGTCAAAAGAGGACAGAGCAGGCTCAGGGAAGGTGGTGGAAAGGGGCGGGCTGGGAAGAGGGCAGGTTCTCATTGAAGATAATTGCCCGCCCACAGAGGTTGGCCCCTCTTATTGGCTGGGAGCTTTCTTCCAGCATCTAGGATTACAGGTGTGAGCTGCCATTTCTGAATAAAGACATAGGAAACAGTTCTTTTTTCAGAGTAGAGTACCTCTGGGAAGACACAAACAGATCACAAAGGGGCAGGTTCAGAAGTGAAATAATAGTGTTTCACTGATGAGCATTTCTTACTGTGCAAGCCAGATGTGCAATCCCAGACTCTCCAGAGCTGGGGGCAAGAGGATGGAGAAGTTGAGGAGGTCAGCCAGAGCAAAACGTTATCAAGACCACAAGTTATCTCAACCACAAGCACAAGTGAGATGTGAGCTGGACTCCAGAGGCTCACTCCTGTCATCCTGGCTTCTCAGGTGGTTGAGATCTGAGAATCACAGTTCTAAGCCAGCCTGAGCAGGAAAGTCTGTGCGTTTCATCTACCAACCTACCAAAAAAGCCAGAAGTAGTTGTGGCTTACGTGGTAAGCACTAGCCTTGAGAAAAAGCAGCTCAGGTACAGCGCTCAGGTGCTGAGTTCAAGCCCCAGGACCAGCACACAGATGCACACACAAAATGACAGATGGAAGCCGGGTGCCAATGGCTCCCGCCTGTAATCCTGGCTACTCACGAGGCTGAGATCTGAGGATTGAAGTTCAAAGCCAGGAAAAAGCCGTGAGACTCATCTCCAATAAACCACCAGAAAACTGGAAGTGGTACTGTGGCTCAAGTGGTAGAGCGCTCCCCTTGAGCAGAAGAGCTGAGGGACAGCGCCCAGACACAGAGTTCAAGCCCCACGACCACAAAAAAAAAAAAAAAATGGTAGAACATGCTTCTACTTCTAGCTAGGAGGATTATGATGGAGGTTTACCAGGTAAAAATTTAAAATCCTATCTGAAAAAGACCTAACGCAACAAAGGTTGGGGAGTGGGCATAGCTCCAGCAGTGGAATGAATCCATAGCAAATGTGAGACCCTCAGTTCAAGCAAACTAAGTTTTTTTAATAATATTTTTGTCGCCTCTCAAACTAGGCCCATCTAACTCCAAAGCCCCAAACTGCTGGCATGCCTTTCCCACCCACTTGTCACCTGAGCCTTGACAACCCGGCCCACTAGGGGTCAGAACTGTGGCTCTGGTACGGCCCCACCCTGCCCCTAGCTCGGCCTACTTACATGGCACTGGCTGTGTAGCTGGCGTCGCCACCCTCCACGTACTGCACCTGGCTGGAGTAGACGTGGGAGACAGGCACCTGCTGGAGCTGCTGGACCTAGGGCCAAAGGCAGGGAGATCAGGAGTGGGCCTGCAGCTTGCTTTCATGTGATGGGGCTGGTGGCCGCCCCGGCAATCCCTGCCGCCCAGGACCCTGGCTGGGCAGGCACTTCTGAATTCTGGGAACAACACACCCTGGTCTGGGCCAAGGGTCCTCAGGGGGCTGGGACTCAGGAAGAACTGATTCTGCTTCAGCTGGGGAGCAGCACGAGGGGACCTGAAGAGGGGACCCCGAACACGGCCTGCAGTGTGGGGCCCGGGCCAAGCATAGGGACAAGGTGTCATTAGCGCCAGAGCCTGGCACCACAGATGGAGCCTCAGGGGTGGGGCCTGGACCCGCAGGCCTGCATGATAGGGTAAGAAACCCAGACTGACAGCGCCTGGGGGCTGGGGCTCAGTACCCCACCCACCCTTGCCTGCAGGGCGGGGCCGGAGGGGCGGGGCCGACCCTGCCTGGGCGGGGCCAGAGGTCTGCAGGGGCGGGGCCAGGGGACTGCGGGCTCCCCGCCCCTTCCGCCCCTTCCGCCCGGCCACCTACTTTGAGGGCGGTGGCGGCCGCGCCGAACACCAGCACCTGGGGAACTCTCTGGATCCTGACCCTCGGGTCGGGGCTGGCGCGGGCCGCCAGCCCGGGCAGGGGCTCGAGCACCACCTTCGGCGGCGGCGGCGGCAGGAGCAGGTGCGGGGGCAGCACGCCCACCAGCTCCACCCACTGCTCGGCGCCCGGCGGCCCGGGGCTGCCAGGCTGCGAGGCCTCGGGGTCCCGGGGGTCCCGGGGGTGCCGCGCGCCGGGCCCCGGGGAGGGCGGCGGCTCCGGAGGCGGCGGCGGGGCCCGCGGCTCGCGCTGCTCTGCCTTCCTAGCGGGAAACTGACTGTCTGAGCTCTGGAGGACAAACAGAGACACTCGGGGGTCACCCGGGGCCCGCGGGCAGCCCGGACGGAGACCCCCGCCCGGGGTCTCGGGGACAGGGCAGGAAGGACCCACGGGGTCTGAAAGCCCGCGCCAGAGTCCGGAGGTCAGAACCACCACCCACCGGGCCTGGCCGCTGGGGGGCGCCCGCGTCCGCCCGGCCCGGCGGGGCGTCCCGGGGTGCGGGGCGGAACCCACCTCTTGAGCCACATGGACGGGCTGGAGGCTCTGCACCGTCAGCTGCTGCACGGGGCCGGCTTTGGGCGCCTGCGGGGTGGCCTGCACCACGGACCTCTGGGGAAGGAGAGACAGCCGGCCTGCGGTAACCATGGCAACCGCGGCGCCCAGCCCCGCACACGCGGGAACCTCAGAGCGGCCCTCCCAAGGAAAACAGCCTCCATGATCCCTAGCCAGAGGCGGCAGCTCTGTGCCATGGGTCCAGACGCCCTGGTGGAGGCCCAGAGGCAGGCCCAGGGACGGGAGGCTGCCCGGACGGGAAGCGATGGGCACAGGGACTCTGGGACTGGCCTCCACTGGCGGCTTCGCCCTACACTCAGCTACTTCACTTAAGACCCACGCCCAGGCCCGCCCACTGCCACCGGCCCCGCCCCTCCCAGGTTCCCCGAAGGGGAGAGAACCAGTGGGGGGTGCCATGGGCTGTCCCGCCCCCTCCAGCGTGGAGGTCCTCCGGGTGACCCTTTGGTGGGGATGCTGGCATCCTCAGGGCCCAGGAGCTGGAGGAGGGGGCGGGGCTTGAACCCTGTGTCAAGGTTCACAGGGGGGGCTGTGACCCTAAGAATCCTTTGGGATCAGCTTTTGCTTTCCTCAGAGCTTTCGCTGTTTGTTTGTTTGTTTTTAATTTGAGGTGGAGTCTTGCTCAGGCTGGTCTTGAATTCCTGAGCTTCAAGAGATCTTCCTTCCTCAGCCTCCTCAGTAGCCAGGACTACAGGCATGTGCCACCATGCTTGGCTTCATGTGGCCTGGGACCCCACAACTTGAGCAGTGACAAGCAGGTGGCAGGAGCGTGGCCTCTGGCAGTGTGATGTCTGGCAGCTGGGAGCTCAGCTCTCCAGACGGCCAGGGGTGGATCTGGAAGCTAAAGCCTCTCAGACACTTGAGAGATGAGCAGGGACTTGGTGGCAGGATTTTCCCCCAGGCGATGGGCCTACGAAGCCACGGTGGCTTCTGGAAGCTGATCCTAGGGCCTGCTCGTCCTGGGTCGGCAGGGCACCTCACACAGGGCATTCTCACCCCCTCAGCAGCCTCCATCCCAGGGCACCAGAACACGAGTCATGACATGGTAGCTGAACTCGAGCAGGGCCATGAAGGCCGCCAGGCCAGGACCCCTCCCCCCTCCCGTCTTGGCCAATCACCTCTTGGGTGAGGGGGACGCTCTGCTGGACGCCGTGGACCTGCAGCTGTGGGGGCACAGTGCCTGCAGGGGCCCCAGCTGTCTTGCTGGTGGAGCTGGTGGCCTGCACCGGTGACCTCTGCAAAGGAAGGAGACGGAGCCATGTGAGATTGTTTGGGGGTGCTGGGGGGGGCGATTGGATGCCGATGTGGAGAAGGCAGCAGTTGGAGGGGGCGCGTCCCAACCACCACCTAGATTCAATGTCTGCATCCTCCACTCAGCCTGGTGGGCCCAGGCGGGGGTGGGGTCCAGAGGTGCTCATCCGCCCAGACACTGAGATGACCAAGGGCAGGCTGGGGACACCTGGGTGGCCACATCTCAAAGGTCCTGTCCAGAACAGCAGTGACATTGAGCAGCATGGCACCGTGGAACCCAATGGGGTGGAGGGAGCAGGAGACCTGCCCAGGCTCCCACAGGTGGACTGGTTGTGGAGCCCCCTGCTGGCTTGGGGCCAGGCCCTGCCCACGGAGCCCGGGCTAAATTCTGACAGATGGCTGATGGGTAGTGGGCCTAAGGGTTGAAGGGGAGGCCTCTGTGCTTGCTCCCTCTTACCCCCTGAGCCTCACCCCCAGCCTTTCACTTTGCTTATTTTTCAGGTAGGATCCTGAGCATTTGTCCCAACAGGGCCTCAAACGAGGACCTTCCTATTTTAACCTGCAGAATAACTGGGACTACAGGCATATACTACCAAACTCAGCCTCATTTGCTCTTTTCTTTTCCCCCTTTGGTCGGTCGTGGAGCTTGAACTCTGGGCCTGGGTGCTGTCCCTGAGCTCTTCAGCACAAGGAGAACGCTCTACCACTTGAGCCACAGTGCCACTTCCTCTTTTCCTCATTAAACTTCAGGCTTAAAAGCCTGAAGTCTTGCAGAGGAGTGGATGGCTGGGCCTGGGTCTGACTCAGGTTTCTGATGCCCATCCTTGTGCTCCGGACCACTGCTACCTGCTTGCCTGCACTGGCCAAGGAGGCCGCTGTGCAGCACGGATAGCCACTGGCCAGGCCGACTCAGCTCCAAGCAGCAAAAGCCTGGGTCACATGGTGCCACGGAGGAGGGCAGACCTCTGCAGGGGCCCCAAGGGTGCTAAGGGGTTGTATGGCTGACCCAGGGAGAGATAAGGGGAGGGGCATCCAAGGAGACCACCACCTACCTCGGGGGGCGAGTGCACCTGCTGGGTACTGTGCACGGTCAGCGCGACCTGGCCGCCCTTGCTGCCGGGCCCCGAGCTCTGCACCACCAGACGCTGCGTGGGGAGAGTCTGGAGCCCAGGAAGGAAAAGGGCGCCGATCACCCAGACCACCAAACACAGCAGGGGGTTCGAGTCATTTTCGTTGTGTTGGGGGTGGAACCTGAGGCAGTACGCTGACAAGCATGCGGGGGGGGGGGGGGCTCGGCTCGATTGCTGACCACGCCCCCAACAAGCCCCGCCCACCACCGGCCACGCCCCAATGGCAAGCCCCGCCTCCGGTCTGTCCACGCCCCAGCACCGAGCCACGCCCCCGTTTGGCCCAGCTGGGGCTCACGGGATGCCCGCACTCACAGCCCGCGTGAGTGTCACGGGCTCGTCCCAGGCCCTGGGGCCAGGAAGCAGCAGGGCCAGAGTTTGTGGGGCTCCACAAGCCACAGGGCAGTGTTCTCCAAATCTGATGCGGCGGCAGCTCGCGGGGAGAGCACGTGTCCAGGCCTGCGTGACTCCCACCCCACTAGTGACCCGATCCGAGTCTGCGCTGGCTGCAGGCTCCCGAGGCTCAGGCTCCCTGTTTTCCCTGGAAGGCCCCGTCCCGGGTCCGATGTGTCCCCGCCCCGTGGAGGCCGCTGTCCAGAGCCTGGGCGGAGCTGGTGACCCCCAGCCCTGGCAGAGACGGGCCCCAGCGCGCGGGACGCTGTGCCAGGAAGGCTCACCTGCGGCGGCACCTGGATGTTGGTGAGCTGCAGGGGTGACACGTGTCCCGGCTTGGCCTGCACCAGCAGCCGCTGTGGGGACAGGTGTGGGGGGAGTCGGAAGCCGGCACTGGGCACCGCTGGTGGTTCTGGAGGGCAGCTACGGGCAAGAGTGCCCTCGGCCCCAGCTGGCACTGCCCGCCTCGTGCCCATCCCCAAGACCACATCGTACCTGCTGGGTGCCCTGTACCTGCTGGACCACTTGGGTGGGGACGCCGGTCTGGCTGGCCGTGGAGCCCGGGCTGGCCTCCGACACGGTCTCGCTGGCCCGCATGGCACCTTCTGTGGGGACAGGTGACCGCGTCCCAGTTCTGCCCTCGGCCTCTGCCCCAGACGCAACCCCGCCCTCCCGGCCCGGGCCTAGCCTCTGCCGCCGTCCTGCCACCTGCCTGGCAAACCAGGACGCAGGGGCTGGACGCCTTCCCTGGGACAGAGAATGGCCCCCGAAGCCTGCAGACGCCTGTCCCGTGGGGGGCACTCACGCTGGCAGGCGCTCAGGAAGCAGCAGTCGTGGAGCATGGGTGCGGCGCCCGCCTCTGCAGGAGGAGCCGGGGGCGCGGGCGGCCAACTTATACCCACAGCTAACCCCACCTGAGGGGACGCAGAGCCCACGTGCCGGAGGGAGGCGGCACCCAGAGATGCTATCCGCCAGGCGGGTCAGGTTTCATGCCGTGGGAGGGGGCGGGAGACCCCGCCAAGCTGCTGCACGCCTCCCATCTACCCCCGCGGGCCCGGGGCGCCCCGGCTTCGCTTAGCTGGTGGGAAGGCCCCACCTCTCCTTGGGAGGGGTTCGCCCGTGGGTTCCCAGGGGTCCCTGTGTGAGCAGAACTGACGGCGAAGGGAAGGCGGCACCAGCCCCGCCCAGGCCCCGGGCCGGCAGCCTCCGCTGCTGCCGTGAGCACTTCGTACACGGAGGCAGGAAGCTGGGGACCCCTCCAGTCCTAGAGGATCTCAGGGTGGGGGTTCAGTCTCCAAAGGAGGGGTGCTGGGCACAGGAGACAGGCCTGGCCAGGCAGCAGCCTGGAGGCCGAGCCTCAGCCGCCCACGTGACTGCTGGGGGCGGGGCCCGCCGCAGATGGGGGGGCTCCCCGAGGCCGCACGTGAGGCCCCCGCATGCGGCCGCCCCAGGCCTGCTCCGCCAGCTGACCGCGTCGCCAATTCCAGGGGTTGCTGGAATCTTCACAGGCTGCGAGGAGGGCAGAGGCCCGCACTCGCCTGGGCCCCTGCGGGGGAAACCTGAGCTGGCCCCGAGTCACGTGACCGGCGCCGCACACCTGGCTGCGGCGGAGCCTGGGGACGGTGGTGGCTGGGCAGGGAGGCGGCTGGGCAGGGAGGCGCTGCCCGGGCAGGGGTGGGCCGGGGCGGGGGCCGGGCCGGCGAGCGGCTCTTCCTCCACACCTCCGGCCGCCTGCCCTGAGCAGGCCCGGGTGCAACAGCAGAGGTCTGCCCGCGGGACCCCCACCCCCAGCAGGTGCGGAGGGCGCCAGCGCTCACGCCTGTCATCTCAGAGACTCAGGAGGCTGAGATGTGAGGATCGCGGTTTCCTAGGCAGGAAAGCCTGTGAGACTCTAACCTCTGATTAGTCACCAAAAAGCTGGAAGCGGAGGTGTGGCTCGGCTGGCAGAGTACCAGCCTGGAGAGAAAATGCTAAGCAGCAGAGCACCGGTGGCTCCCGCCTGTCACCCCAGCTACTCAGGAGGCTGAGACCTGAGGATCAGGGTTCAAAGCCAGCTCAGGCAGGAAAGTCCATGAGACTCATCTCCAAAGAACTACCAGAAAACTGGAAGTGGCGCTGTGGCCCAAGTGGTAGAGCGCTCACCTTGAGCAAAATAAAGCTGAGTTCAAGCTCAGGACTGGCACACACATAGAAAAGGAAGTACAAAAAAAAAACCAAAAAGAAGCACAAGCAGGGGGTCCACGGGGCTTATCCCCCCCCCCCCCCCGCAGCTGCCCCCTTCTTCTACCTCAGGTGTGGGGCAAGAGTGGAAGGCGTGCTTCTATGGCAGGCCACCACCCAGGGCGCCTTGAAGCAGAGAGCACCAGGCTGAGGCTTGACCGGCGTGGCCCTGTCCACAGCGCCCCCTGCTGGGGACACCCGGAGATCCTGCACTGCGCCCAGATCCTGCGCTTGCTCCATACCACCCTCCTCTTCCTCACACGTCCAGGTAGTGTGTGGGCCTCAGAGAAAGGCAAAGCCCCCCACCCAGACAGACAGACAGACAGACAGACAGCCGGGCTCTCCAGCCCGCCCCTGCTGGTGCCAAGTTCTTGGCAGGCTGGAGAAGCAGCAGGGACTGAGCCCACCTTCCTGCACCCACAGCTGAGCTGGAGAGGAGAGGTAGAGAGTTAACTTGGGGTCTTCTGGGGCCTAGAGCACTGGGCCTACCCCAGATCCTTGTTCTGGGGACCCCATAATGAGTGATAAAACACCCACATAGCCAGGAGCTATGTGGCTCATGCATGTAATCCCAGCAATTCAGGAGGCTGAGATCTAAGGATAGTGGTTTGGAGTCCACTGAGGGAAGCCATGAGATTCTTTTTTTGGGGGGAGAGGGGGATCCGGTCGTGGGGCCTGAACTCTGGGCCTGGGCGCTGTCCCTCAGCTCTTCAGCTCAAGGCTAGCGCTCTACCACTTGAGCCACAGCGCCACTTCCAGTTTCCTGATCTCATTGGAGATCAGAGGCTCAGGGACTTTCCTTCCCAGGCAGGCTTTGAACTGTGATCCTCAGATCTCAGCCTCCTGAGTAGCTAGGGAGCCACCGGCGTCCAGCAAGCCCTTTTTCAGGTAAGGTCCATGCTCATCTCCCTGGAGCTGGCCTGGCCCCCAATTCCTACCACACCACCCCGCCCTGCTTCTGGGTTGAGATTGGGGGTAGGAGGGGATTGTCTTGCTAACTTTGGGCCTCAGACTGGCCTCCAACTGCAACCTTCCCATTTTCTGCCTCCAGACTAGCTGAGATTACAGAAAGGAGCCACCGTACCTGTCCAACCCAATCTCAACCTAATCCAGCCGGTGAGGATGCCCTGAGTGCCAGGTGCTTTTGTGCTCTTGAGTTTCCCGTGGCTGTGCCATGTTCCCACGGGGGCCCCCAAAAGCGCTGCCACAGACAGTCCACACAAACAAGCCGGGAAACGGCTAGGTTCCAAGAGGCCGCCATGTGTAGACTGTCAGCCACAGGCTGATCTGAATGACCAACTCTGAAGCGAAGTCCAACGCCGCAGGACAGCGGGCAAGCCAGCGCCAAGAGACAAACCAGCTGGGTGCCCGCAGGCGCCAGGGCCAGACCTGGAGCGGCACCCCTCGGAGGACCCCAGCCTTCCCCACCCGAGCCCATGGGTCCTGGTCATCTCTCCAATGCCCAGGCACAGGAAGGAACCGCTGCTGGGTCCCCCCCCCACCCCCCGCGGGCCTGCTGTACCCCTAGATCTGCAGGGAGGACCGGAAGGAGGGGAGGCGACCATCCAGGCCTCGCAGCCCATGTTCCCAAGAGGGAGATGTGGACATGGTCTCTTTACAGATGGGGAAACTGAGGCCCAGAGGTTGGGGTGTGTAGAAACTGAATTCTTCCTCAACAACAGACACAAGGCGAATCGAAGAGCACCCACCCACCCCCTAGTGAGACAAGAGTTTGGGGGCGCACAGGGACCTGGCTATCTTTCCCCTGGGGATTTGGTCATCCCCCGTCTCCCCCACCCCCAGGATCCTGGGCTTCTAGAAAACTCCCAGAGCTGCTCTGAGCCGCCCGTCCCCCTCCCCGCCCCGAGGCTCCGCGCACACTTACCAGAGACGGTGACCACGATGTACTGTTGGGGGACAGGGGACTGGTTGGGGGCGCCGGCCGGCTGCGCGGCGGGGGTGGCGGGGAGCTCCGTCACATACTGCTTCTGGCCCCCGGGGGGCGGCGCGGGGGGCTGGGGGCTGTGCAGCTCGGTGACATAGGGGGCCTGGGGGCCGGCGGCCGCGGGGGGCTGCGGGGTGGCGGCGGGGGGCGGCGGCGGGGGCGGGGCCTGGGGCGGCTGCGGGGCTGCTTGCAGCTCGGTGACGTACGCTTGCGTCGCCATGCCAACCGGAGGGAAATGAGAATAAATACGGTGCGTTCGCTGCTGCTTCTCTTCCTTGGGAAGAAAGTGGGGGGGACAAAACAACAACAACACAGAAGACAGGAAGACAGAGTGAGCGCGAGTGCGCGGCCGGCGGGGCTGGCGGGGGGCTGGGCTCCCCTCCCGCTCCATGGAGCCCCAGCCGGCCCCTCCCGGCGCCGGGGGGGGGGGGCTGGGGACCCAGGCGGCCTGCGCCCGCCCTCGCAGCCCAGGCTGGGATTTGTGGGTCCACAGGGTCCCCCACATGTCCCGGGCGGTGGGGGGACACAGGCAGAGTCCCGCCTCGCCGTCAGTGACGGCGTCCCCCGAGTCTCTGTCCGCAGCGCAGGGATGGAGGGATGGACGCCCTCCAGCAAGCCGCCACCGCCGGGCCGAGCCCTGGCTCAGGTGGGAGCGCGCCCGCCGTGAGGGGCGCAGCCCAGGGGCAGGCCCGGCCCGGGGCTCGAGCACCAGGACTGGTGGGCACAACGCCAGTGCACGCACATGAGCGCGCACACGCACGCACGCGCGCGCACACATGCACACACGCACGCACGCACACGCGAGCGCACACACGCACGCGCACATGCACACGCGGGCGCACATTCACACGCGGGCGCACGCACACACACACGCACATGCACACGCGGGCGCACGCACGCACACGCGCACATGCACACGCAGGCGCACACACGCGCGCACATACACACACACACGCGAGGCAGCCGGGCGCCGTGGCGCACGCCTGTCATCCCAGCTACTCAGGAGGCTGAGATCTGAGGATCGCGGTTCAAAGCCTGTGAAACTCTCATCTCCAATCATCTACTCAGAGAAAGCTGCAAATGGCGCGTGGCTCCCGTGGGAGAGCGCTAGCCTTGAGCACAGAGAGGCTGAGACTCAGGGACAGCGCCAGGGCCCCGAGTTCAAGGTGGGGGCTTTCAAAGCTCCACACTGACTGCGTTGAGTCCTCCAAGGCACAAGCCTTGTCTCACGCCTCCGCTCCGGCCGCTGGGGGCGCGGGGATGTGAGGGTGAGGGGTGCAAACCCACCGGCTCATCACCTAGGACACCACACTTCCCCATATTGTAGCTTACGATCCCTTTATGGCACGTGAAACAAGACAAAAAGGGCTTTTGTTTCTCTGTGCTGGTCCTAGGGCTGGAACTCAGGGCCCAGGCGCTGTCCCTGAGCTTTTTCACTCAAGGCTGGTGCTCCACCACTTGAGCCACACCTCCACTGCCAGCTTTTGGGTGGTTTATTGGGGATAAGAGTTTTATGGACTTTCCTGCCCAGGCTAGCTTTGAACCTGGGTTCTCAGAACTCAGCCTTCTAGGTAGCTAGGATGACAGGTGTGAGACACTGCTGCTCCCTGACTATCAAACCTATTCTTTAGCAATGAATTTGCCTAAGGAAGCATTAATGCCTGCACCTAGCTTCAAAGTCCACAGCTAGGAGAATGTGTGAACTAGTTACTTTGGATCAGTGGCCAGAAAGTATGTATTGTTGGTTTTAAGGACAGACAGCACCTGCAGCTACTGCCAAACTGTAGATGAGTGTCCATGGACAACTTGGAAACAAAGAAACAGGATGGATGGCAACAAAACCTTTGATTTGCTGAGATTTGAGTTTTGTACAATTGTATTTGTCTTTTTATTTTTTTTTCCTAGTCATTTAAAAATCCAAAAATGAGCTGGGTGAATGGGCCAACTCACAGACCGCCTGGCTTGAGTGTTCAAGACTCCGAGTCTAGTACCACCCACAAAAAAAAAAAAAGGAAAACTCACTGAGAGCTGGGCACAGTGGCTCCCGCCCGTCATCCTGGCTACTCAGGAGGCTGAGATCTGAGGATCAAGGTTCAAAGACAATTCAGGCAGGAAAGTCCATGAGACTTTTATCGCCAATTAAGGAGCAGAAGGCTAAAATGGAGCTGTGGCTCAAGTAGTAGAAGCATCAACCTTGAGGGAAAAAGCTAAGCAACAGAACCCAGGTCCTGAGTTCAAATCACCTGCCATACAGAATCGGGCAACATGTGGGGTGGGTCCCAGATATGCCTGGCTGCACCACTGTGCGCGCCTCAGTCGGGAACTCTCAGAGTTAGTGGTAATGATGCGCGGGCACACTCCCCCGGTCCTAACGTCTGCTTTATGACTCATGCAAAGAATGTTCCCGCACTCCTGCTGGCCTCAGGACCTTTGTACACCTCTTCTCTTCTTCCAGAGCATTTGCTCCTGACCACCCCCACCGCCCTTCTCCCGCATTGCCCACTGGATCCTTCTTATCAGCCTGTGTGTCGCTTCCTTGGTGCTGTTATTTTTCTTCCAGCACTAGAGCTTCTGTTTATTGACTTTCTTACTCATAGCTTCTCTTCTTTCTGCAAGTCAATAGTTGGAGACTGGACTATCTCACCCATCCTCCACTGAAACTCCTAGAATACCCGGGGCCACACGGGGCTTAACTCTTTTCTGTTTTTTTTTTGGGGGGGGTCAGGTCTCTGGGCCTGGGTGCTGTCCCTCAGCTCTTCAGCTCAAGGCTAGCGCTCTACCACTTGAGCCACAGCGCCACTTCTGGCTTTTTTTTTCTTTTTGCTTATGTGGTGCTGAGGAATCGAACCCAGGGCCTCATGCGTGCAAGGCAAGTGCTCTACCACTGAGCCACCTTCCCAGCCCAACTCTTTTATTTTCTTCTTTACTATTTTTCTTGCAGTGCTGGGGCTGGAACCCAGGGCCTTTGCACGTGCTAGACAAGCACTCCACCCCTGAGCCGTGCCCTCTGTCCCACTTCCTAGTCTTCTCTAGTGAACTGTGGTACTGGCTGGTCTGAGGAAGACCTGAGGAGCAAGTCACTGCTTTTGGCCAACGAGGAGCTCTGCTCCTGCAGCTCCGCTTCCTCCGATGCCTGTGGGCCAGGGCAGTGTGGGGGCACTCCTCCCTAATCCAGGAGGATGGTGTGTCAAGAAGCTAGGACCAGGGGCTGGGAAGGTGGCTCAGCGGTAGAACGCTTGCCTCCCATGCATGAGGCCCTGGGTTCGATTCCTCAACACCCCATAAGCAGAAAAAGCCGGAAGTGG